ATATATATATGCCTTCAAATCTTAGAACATTTTACCCCCTAATAGTATATTTACATCTTTCCCCTTTCAGGGACTGGAGTGTGCTTTGGTGCCAAATAAAGGGCCTCATGTGGCTGAGGGAGGCCCCAGGAAACCCACAGCCTTTACAAAACTGGGAAAGAAGCCCCAGGGCCACAGGGTAGGGCAGCCTACCAAGGGCAACAAGCCTCACAGGGCAGGGCACTGCTGGACCAATCAGTTCAGGGCTCCCAGGAGGCACCAGAAAGGCTGGGTCAGAGTGCCAAAGCACATTCCACAAGCCTCAGTTAATCCAATAGGGGTCAGCCATCGTCTAGGCTCCTCAAATCAACGCAAAAGAATGCTCACCAGTCAAGGGCCTTTAGAGTGAGCAGTAGACATAAGTGAGGCAGTGTGTGCCTTCTGGGACCACACCTCACCTGTATGGCCATACCACAGGTGAGCAGTCTGCTGTCCTAGGCTCTTCCTAGACTCTGTGGCTCCAGCAGAAAATGAGGATAGGGGATCACACCCCAGGGTCTTATCACCTCTCTGGAGACCTTGGATTCTACTACAGCAACTACAAGGGCAGAGCACCCCCATGCCAAGGCAAGATGGCTTTCAGGGAAACATATTGTCAGGGATGGTGGCCTCTGTGATCTCAAGCTTCCTTGCCTTGAGGGTCTCACAGCTTTCAAAGGAATGAGGCAGTGGCGATCCTTTCTCTACATCTCCAGCTATAGCACAGTGCTCTGCCTACACATGGTACCTGTGGTCTTCAAGGAACACTGCAGAAGCAGCTGATGATGGCAGGTGACACTAGCAGCAGCCACAAGAGCTTCCTTTTGGGGAGGGAAGCCAAGGGTCTCAGGGCTATTTTATTCAGATGGAAACCAATCTGGTCAAGGTTGGGCAGGGCATCTCTTTTGTTTCTGACCTAGTTGAAGAGGTCATCAAAGTATTAGGTTGTCGATGAGCCAGCCATATCATGTCACTGTGTACAACTCATCCCGATCGTTCTTGCAGATCTGATAGTGACAGGAGAATTTCTGCAAGCAGGCCCAGGTTTCAGCCTGCTCCTCTCGTGGTGGCAGGAGGAAAGCTGCACTACCAGCCAGCAGGATGTGCCAGATGCTGTGAGTATAGTAATAGTTGTCACTGGTCATCATGGAAGTGTAGATGGCAATGCCCACCAAGGCCATGGAGATGCCAGGCAGGAGGTAGAAGACCCAGCGTTGCCACGAGGTAGGGTAGCACTGGTGCCGGTGAGCACAACGGTACACCTGGAACAGACAGCCACATGAGTATCAGTGCAGGCCAATTACAGCTACAATTCTCAGGGGCCCAGGGCCAGGAGTCACAAGGACCTATCTAGGTCTAGGCAGAACTGAATGTGGACTCATGACTGCTGGTCTTCGGGCCCAGTTCTCAGGCACACAGCCATATTGAGACTTTATGAATGCTGCTACTGGCTCTCAGCAGATGTGCGGTGTTTAGGACCTCCCAGCAGGACTGGGAACATGACCAGAATGAAAGACTCTCTTCTCCCAGTATCTAAGCAGGAGAACCTGTGAGCTCTGCTCCTTACCCACATGGAGACCATGATCACAAAGGCAAAGAGGCAGGGCCCCATCAAGTTCCAGATGCCCCTGCGGTCCAGCTGCAAGGACATGGCGATGACCAGTGTGCCCAGGACTAACAGGACCTGGGAAAGACACAGGAATAGCTTGTGGGGCCATGGGGGCCATGGGCTGGAATCACTTGTGATAGCATAAGACACAACAGGAACCAGTGGCAGGGCATGTTGGTCATCCACTATTGGTTTCCTTCTGTCTCTGGCACCTCTGCCTCCCCTTAGATCTACTGAAGACTGCCCTGTTTCTGCTCAACCAACTGGGAGAGAAATGCTCTTCCTCTAGCCCTTTTACTGTGTCCAAAGGTGACCATCAGGCCCTTTTGAGGACTATGAGGTAATACCCCTCCCTAATGGGCAACTTTGTATACACTCACATGCCCCTGCATATCAAGGCTTCCAGAGTCTCCCATCAGGGTGGCCTCAGATGCTCCCTGGGAGGGGATCCCATGTCCAAGTCTCCCTCAGCACATGTGCCCACAGCTTGCAAGTTCATGTCCCCAATATTCAGCCCACTGGACACTGACACTTCAGAATCTTCTTTCCCCCATTATGTGATTTAATCATGGGATTTCTAAGGGTGCCCCTGAGGAACAGCACCCAGCTGTTAGATAGAGGACACATTTGACAAGCCCCAGAAAGTTGTCTCCACTGGCCAGGTCCAGCTGCTACCTAAAGTCTCCAGAATATCCTAGGACAGGGAAAGGGAACCCAGAAGTAAGGCTACGGCTTTTCATGGAGGCCTGGCTCCTGTTTGGGATTAGGGGTTTGAGTCCTCTCTGATGGTCACACCTTTCCTTCACAGCTTCCTGTGCCTTCCTTTAAAGGTGGCTGGTTCTCATGTGAGACTTGACACCCAGGCCCCTTCTGTTCTTTCCCTCCTTGCTTCTTCACATGCTGCATACGAGTTTGGAATCAGAAGCCACTCACCTGTTTCAGGATTGTCTTCAGTCGAGCCATGCAGAGAATGGTCACCCAGGTGGATGCCCCAGAGCCCAGGAAGTCGCAGTACTGTAGTGTGTCATAGCTGAGGATGCACAACACCGCCTCCCCCGGCTGGTCACAGGCATGGTAGAACTGTGAAGTTGGGCAGTGAGCAGCACCCCAGACCTCCCTACCTGAACCTCCCCAAAGGAGTGGGCTAAGCCTACCGTGGAGAAGAACATGGTGTAAAAGTAGACGGAGGCCTCAACCAGGAAGGAACGGTGTACAGACACAGCAATGGGAGCCAGGAACATGAGGTTGCTGAGTGTGAGCAGAAGTGCAGCTGCTCTCTGTTGGGCCACAGTCTGGGCTGTGCTGTTGTCTGTGCAGCTCCATCCACGCCAACCTAGGGGCCATACAATATCCAGATGTATGCTGAGGGGAGTCAGGTGGCAGAACAGGGAAGACTTCCGGACTTCATGATCATTTCCTCACCCAGAAACAGGCTGGATAAACAGGCCTAGTTGTGGAACCCACAGGTGTGAACTGCTGTCAGGGACAGGTGTGATGAGCGTAGACAGGTGCAGACAGACAAAATATCCATAGACAGGTATGGGCAGGCATGGGCAAGGGGGACAGCTGTAGGCAGGTGGGAACAAGTGTGGCAGGTGTGTGTACATGTGGGCAAGTATGGGCAAGCATGTGCAGGTACAAGCAGGTATGGGCAGGTGAAGATAGGTGAGGACAAGTGTGGTAGGTGCAGGCAGGCATGGGCAGTGGGAAACAGGTATGGACAGGTATGTGTAGATATGGGCAGGTATGGGCAGGGTATGGGCAGGTATGGGCAGGGGTGCACCCCTGTGGACAGGTGGGGACAAGTGTGGCAGGTATGGGCAGGCATGAAAAGACAGGTGTGAATAGGTGTATGTGGGTAGTAGCAGGTGTAGACAGGAATAGGCAGGTAGGGATAGATAGGTATGGACAGCTGTGGGACAAGAGGAGACAAGTGTGGTATCAGCTGATAGGAAAAAGTGTGAACAGGTAGAAAGTACCATGAATAGGTGTGGGCAGGTATGTAGGCACAAACAGGTGTGGGTAGGTAGACACAGGTATAGGGCAGTTGGAAATAAGTATGGACATATGTGGACAAGGGAAACAGTATAGGCAAGTATGTAGGCATGGACAGGTATAGGCTGTCAAGGGAACACAGGAGGCAGCAAGGCCAAGGTCAGGAGGCCCTCTCCTGCAAATACTTCAGTGTCTATGTGCCTAGTTGAAGGTATCATGGGTAACATGAAAGGAAGATGAAGGAACTTTTGTCCCTGCTTTGCTCTGTAGGGGCAGTCTCACCTGCTTTACAGCTACAGCCTGCATACAGGTAACCATATCTGCGGAGAAGGAGGCACTGGCCATAGGGTCCACAGTCATTCCAACAGGGTATAAGATACAAGGTGGTCTCCACATGAGCCACAGCTGGCTCACAGTCCCTGTAAGGAAAGGGTCATGAGATGACTGGCTGTAGTTCTCTTCTGGTCACTTCACCACCAGGTTTCCCAAGCCCAGAGCTGAGCCCCCACAGGTTCCAACAGTGGAGATATCCCCACCCTCTTCTATAGCTGCTGTAGGATGGGAGCAGGTAGAGGAGAATCCTTCCTAATACTGGAAGGCCCCCACCCTTCACTGCTACCAGCCCATGTCATGTTGCTCAGGCCCAGATTCACGTACTCAGAACTCTCCGGGCACACAAGCTGCAAGGAGAGGTACCAGTTGTCTGTCTCCGGGTAGGGAATGATGAGGTTGGCTGTGTAAGATGAGGCACTCAGAAACATGGGATAGCCCTGGAAGAAGGCTGCATGGGGTAGGAGGGCCTGTCAGAGGTGGCTAGAGGGGCCAGTCAATCTCTCAACCAAAAACTGCCTGCCCAGCATACCTGTGGTGCAGTTCAGTGAAGTGTTGAAGCTGAGGAAAGGTGAGGCAGCATTAATACAGGCTGCTACCAAGATGCCATTTGTGATCTCTGTCTAGAAAGGGAAACAGTACAGATCAGTCACTGCCATCCCCTAAAGAGTCACCTAAAGAGACAGCTCAGCTGCTCATCTTGCATTTTAGCTCAGTCATGCTGCATACTTTTTCTCTGAGGCTCCTGCTAGCCCAGAGTTCATTCTGGTCCTTTCTCCAGCTGTCTCTGGTTCTAATTATTCTCCTGCCTATTTGTATAGCTATGGTAACTCTGACAAGCACAGGGTTGCCCCAGGGGAGGTCCTCTATACTCAGATGGACCTCTTCTGGCCCATGCCTGCTGGTATCACTCTAAGGACTGAAAGGCCACCCCAAGCTGGTCTCCATGCTGAAGTTATCCTGTGCCCTGAGCTAAGCCAGACCACAGACCACTGTAGAGAGGTTCAGTGGGCTGCCAGGTGGTACCTGGTTGGCCCTCAGTGTGATAGTGAGGGAGCCCCCGCTGTCCATGCCTGTGTCAAGGCGGAGCTGCATTATAGAAGGCATGCCTGAATTCACCAGCACGAATACCCCGTTCATGGGCTGGAAGCGTACAGACACCACATCCAGGTCCTCCCTCCTGACTGGATAGTTCAGGAGACAGAAGGGGCCACCGCCTACCCTGCCCAGGTCCAAGTGGGCAAGGTCTTGGGATGGCTGACCCGCAGAGGTGTCACTGCTCTGGTTTAGGCTGTTTTGCAAAAAGTGATGGAAGGTCACACTCCATGGCCTACATGCTGTCAAGAGGAAAAGGAGCTCAGCCAGAGGAAAACCAGGACTTCTGGGGTCGGGGGCAGAACCAGTCAACCCCTCCCTCCAATGCAGCGCACCTGTGAGGGCAACTTCAGCAGTGAAGACCACTGACACATGGGATCCTGCCAGGCTCTCAGCTGTCACTTGCAGCCACTGGCCCCAGGGTGGTAAGGAAAGCAGTAGGTGGCAGTACGGAGTAAGGCTGGTGCAAGTCAACACCTTTTGGAAGTTTCTGGGCAGGGTGGTTGCACCCACCGTGAGACGCACAGGGCAGCCAAGGATCAATCTGGACACACAGCCCTGTAGCTCCAGTCGAAGTTCTTGGGTGTACTCAGGGACAAAGATCCTGTGGCAAAGTGGGGACACAGACTCACTAGCTCAGACTCTGTATTTGCTTCCTCTGATCTGCTTAGGCAAGACATCTGGCTTTTTTTTTTTTGTCTTTTTGAAGCAGGGTCTCCCTGTAGCCCCAGCTGTCCTGGAACTCACTATGTAGACCAGGCTGGCCTTGATACATATATTTTATATTTTGGGGGGGCTCTTTTTGAGACAGCGTCTCCCTGTAGCCCCAGCAGTCCTAGAACTCGCTATGTATACGAGGCTGGCCTTGAACTCACAGAGACCCCCCTGCCTCTGCCTCCCAAGTGCTGGGACTACAGGCATGCACCACCACGCCTGGCGTGGCTTTTTTTTTTTTTAAGTTTATTATTTTTATTTTATGTGTGAGTGTATGGCCTGCATGTATGTAAGAGCACCTGTGTCATGCAATGCCTGAAGAGGACAGAAGAGGGCACAGGATTCCCTGGAATTGGAGTTACAATTGTTAGCCATCACGTGGGTGCTGGGAATAGAACCTGGATCTTTGGCAAGAGAAGCCAGTGCTCTTAACTGCTGAGCCAACTCTCTAGCCCCACATATCTTTTTTATTATTATTTTATGTGTATGAGTGTAATGCCTGCATGTAGGTAGATGCACCCTTGTTGTAGAATGCCTGCAGAAATCAGAAGAGGGTGTCAGATCCCCTGGAACTGGAGTTACAGATGGTTGTTAGCTGCCATGTGGGTGCTGGAATTTGAATCCTGGTCCTCTGCAAGAGTAGCCAGTTCTCTTAACTGCTAAGTCATCTCTCCAGCCCCGCATCTGGTTTTTCTTCCCAACAGATCTCTATGATACTACCTTTCTTACCTTCAAGGTGGAGCACCACCCACTTTAAACCCAAAGGCTGGGGCTACGGGACAAACTCAGCCTCCCCCAGACCCTTACTAACTTGAGGTAGCTGGAGTTGGAGAGCAGGGTCTGTGGAAGAGGAACATCAGGCTCCAGGATGGAAGCCTCAACCACCCGCATGGCCAGCATTTCAGGCTGGAAGATGTAAGCACAGGTGGGAACAAAGCCCTGTGCAAGAACAAGGCAGGGGGCATAGGCGTCAGAGAACGTAGAATGCAGGCCAAGGGGAATGGGGAGGGTGGTGAGACAGAAGTGGATCCAGAAAGGGGACTTGGGGGAGGGTGGATCCAGAGTGGAGGGGCTGAGTATAGAGTTAGGTCTGCCCCAAAGGGGGATATGAGGTTGGCCATCCATGCATCAAGGGGTTCTACCTCCACCCCAGGGAAGTGAGCCCTCTCACCTTTACCTCAATCTTCTGGGATGAGGGAGGCAGGTGGGCAACCACAAACCAGTCCCCAGGGGCTGGGTGAGAAACATTGACAGAGGTATTGCTCAGCAGCATGGTACTCAGCAGTGCCTTGATGTGGAAGGAGGCCTGCCCCAAGGTGTTGTCAGGGAAGCTGGTCCCCAGTGGGTTGATGACAGGAGGGGCACCATAGCGGAAATGCCTGGAAGAGAGTAGGCCACGGGTCAGACACAGGGCCTCAGCGGGAGTGAATGCTAATGACAGAACACTGAGCACCTACACGGTGATTTCTACATCAGTGCACGAGGAGCCACTCTGGGACACATGCAGCAGCCAGTGAAGCAGCACAGTATCTGGGGGTACTCGAAAGTGGAAGAGTCGAGTGCTGCCATACCAGCTGTAGAAGGACAGCTTCTGCGGGGCCTGTGAAAAGTGCTCCGATACCAGCCCAGCCTCTGTAGAGAGAAGGCAACAGTCAGCTGGGGGGGGCAGGGGTGCTTCCTTGGGGGTGCTGATAGGAAGAAATGAGTCCATAGAAGAGGGAAATGATTTGGATATCAAGTCCCGGAGCCACTCTAGAGTTTCTGTCATGCAGACTTTGGCCTTGGCCAAATGCTTCTGGCACCTGGAGGTTGCTTGTGGTGATCAGAAGTTTTCTCTCAGAACATGTAGTCTTTTGTCTGCTTCCCCCTCCCCAGATGGCCACTGCCTACTCACCAGGGACCTTGCCTTCTCACACTGCAGTAGCTTCCAAACAATGAGAGTGGTAGGTACGTAGCTTGCAACCCTCAGAAGGACCCGCCTAGGGCCAAGCAGCCCTACTTCTGCATATTGGTCAGTCAGTTCTGCCCCTGCACTGCAACCTGGTATATCCAGACCAAGAGATGGTGACTGAAAGACACCAGAAGGTGGTCAAGGAAGGCGTTCTCACCCCTGCTGATGTCTGCCCTGGTCACTGGATCAGAGAAAGGGCTCCTCTTAACTCACCTCCTCTGAACCTCCCAGAACCATGTGGGCAGCACTGCTGAACAGGTAGGGAGGCTCAGGTACTGAAGCTGGCTGTCTCTCTACCCTGTGATGACTCAAAACATAGCCAGATTCCTTCCCCAGAAAGAACCACTGGTTAAGGGGACTCCAATCCAGAAGCCTGGCCATCCATAAGGACCAAGGGACAGCTGGACACTGATCCAAATGGGTGAGGCCTCTAACTGCCCTTAGGGAAAACACCCATGCATGGCAGTACAGGGACAAAGCAGAGGACCAGGCAAGGGCACCATGTGACTTCATGCCATGCAGCAGCTTACCAACTTGTGCCTAGTGCTGCCTAGCACCTGTGCTAGCTCAGGCCTTTTGCCCTGTATGACCTTGTATGTCCCTTCCCTCTCTAGATTCCTGCCTCCCCATGGGTAGGCCTAGGTGAACTGCTTGTCTCTTTGAAGTTAATGAGTGATAAAGTGCTTTAAGAAAAACACAGTAGTATTTGGCATCTTTCTCTAAGTTGAGTGCTCCCCACTCAGGAAGCTTCCCTTTGCCTCACTGGGAAAGGGGCACCTGGTTCTCCCAGGAGAGGGAAAGGGAGTCAGGTGAGCAGCTGGCTCTCTTGTTAGCCTTCTGACTCCTCCCAACAGAAGAACCTGGAGAGACCATAGCAGCCTGAGGGGGTAGGACTGGGAAGCTGCAAAGGCACACCAGGCATGGGGGCAGGGTCAAGTGAGGCTCCACCATGATGAATTCCAAGCTCTCTGGTGTCTGCTGGCCACCAGGGTTCCACTTACCAGGCTGAGGCCTGAATGCCAGGAGCTGCTACAGGTCCTCAGGCAGTGACAGAATAATGGGGAAGAAAAATGTGTAGGGCAGAAAAATTGCTCTGGAAGTTGAAGTAGGGCAGACTTCCCACCCCTAGGACTGCGGGTCCTTGGGAAAACAGACAGGCAGATACCTAGCCTCTGAAGGGACCAGATGGGAGAAGTCACCCTACAGTGTACACCAACCAACCTTGACCTGATAGGAGGAAAGCCCTTGGGCCCCAGAAAGCTTTTGTGAGAACATTTGAAACACAGCTGGTAGCTGTGATGTTTCATTAGATACACAGATAAGAGACCTGCTCAAGGTTGCCCTAAGACTTGGTACCAAATTCTGAGGTCTAAATAGCCCCTCTAAGGCTTCCTTGGTTGAGATGCCTACTTATCTTGGTGAACATACAGTTGGTAAATGTACAGGACCAAGACCCTTAACATGATGGGGTGAGCCCCAAGAGACATTAGGAAAGAGTGAGGAGGGCCAGTGTGCAAATCCCTGCCTGCCCAGGACACTTCCCCCATAGGTATAAAGTTAGGTGGGGATTGAGAAAATAAAGTCCCTGAACTTTTCCTAGAAACCTGAGTGAGGGCACCCTGCCCCATACCTTCCAAACCAGGGAAGATGCCAGATACCCACTAGACCCCAGCAGCCAAGGCCACAGAGCCACCTGGCCCCTCAACTCCCCAGTGACCCTCATCTAGGTTTGATTCCAGAGAGGAAGAAAATAGGGTGTGGCATGGAGCAATTTATCAGAAGCTCCTTAGGGAACACCGCCTTTCATTTCAAGCTGTGCCAAGCCCAGAAACCAGAGCTTGGAGGAGCAATATTTCAGAGAAAGGGGGAGGGCTAGGAATGAGAAGTAGATACTCACTCCAGTAGCCTAAGAGACATTAATTGCCCCCAGGGAGTTCCAGGCTACCTCTTCATTCCCAGATGTCCACAGCATCACTGTTTACACCTGTTCTGCCTCAAGCCGAACTCAAAGGAGCACAAGTCTAGCCATCTCCTCCAACCCCCCCACCCCACCCTCCGCGGAGCAGAAATATGAAAAGCAAGGAAAGTTCTGCTACAAGGAAGTAACCTTTTGTTACTTCTATTGTCAGCCAGCTTCAGGGCCAGCTGGGAGTACAGTCTCTGAGAAGCAAGGCAAGCAATTAAGAGTGGGATAGGAACATGACCATTCCTGAGGTTGGAATAGGAACATGATGATGCTGGCAGGGTCTGGACAACTTTCTCCTAGTTCTGCTATTCTACAAGACCAGATGGAGGCCCTTGAGCCCCCACTCACTAGCCTGCCATTCTTCTCATATGGCTCCCTCCACCTCCCATTTCTGACGTCTCAGTCGGTCCCCAAAGCACAGGGAAGGAGGGCCAGGAGAGTACGCTCCAAGTTAGCGAACCCGGCAGGCCCCCAGAAGCAGCAGTAACGGTGTATGTTGGGAGGGGGGTTTTTTCCCCGACGTCCCGCAGAGGGCGCAACCCAGGGTGAGGCCCTCTCCAATGCCGCACCAGGTGAGCGCACAGGTGCCCCCTGGTGAATCACAATCTCCCCGGTCCCCTCCCCCGCCCCCCCGCCCTGCGCCCTCGGCCCCCGGCTCGCGCAGCTCCTAGGCGCTGTAGGCCCGCGCGGGCTCACCGCTCTTACTGCTGGCTCTGGCTGCGGCAGGCCGAGGTCGAGCGAGGAGCATCACCAGCATCAGCAGCGGCCCGGCCGCCGCCCGGGTCCCAGCCCGGCCCATGGCTCCGCGCTCGACCCGCGCTACCCCGACCGCGTTCCGTGCCGCTTGCCCCCGCCGCCTGTGCGGCCGTCGCCGCTGCCTCTGCCCGGGGCTCCCATGGCTCGGCCAGACTTGCTGCCAGCGCCCGGGGCACTTCCGCCTCCGAGGCCCCGCCCCACGGGGAGCCAGTCTATCTCCCTGGTCTGGGCGGAGGAGCGGTGTGCGTCACCCGGGCCAGAGGGGAGACTTGGAGCCAGTGCTCAGGGGGTCTGGAGGGGACAGGGATTCGCGGCCCGCTACGTAGCCTAGAGCAGGCGGCACAGGCTGGAAAGTCACGTGGAACGCATAGGGATACAAGGGACTGAGGGTCACGAGGGAAGGACGGGACTGAGTGGGTGAGTGGGGTGCCAAACAAAGGTCGTGCAGCGCATGGGTGAGATGCGGAGCAGAGGGATTATGCAGGACCCAAGAGGGGATGTGAAGCAAAGGGGTCACAAGTGCGGGGCAGAGGGGTTTCACACTAGACACACGAGATGGGAGGCAACGAGATCATGCGGGACACGGGTGGATGAAGGGTAGGAGAGGATGCGCGGGACTCAAGAGATACCGGACAGGGGTCACGAGGGAGGCATGGGGAGGGGGACGCGTGGGTGGGGGGAGTCCCGGAAAGAACCTTGGGACGCATAGGACAAGGACAGAGGTGTCAGGCAGAAGGCATGTGGACTTGCAGAAAAGTTACATAGGACTCATGGGGAACAAGATGCGTAAGAGTCAATGCTGGACACATAGGTGACAGGACAGAGAGGCCACGCAAAATGGAGGGCCACCGTGGGTAGGCACGAACTGGAACCTAGTATGTCCGAGCCAGTGTACTAGTACAGTGCCCAGGAATTCTTTCTGGAGTCCAGCAACTACGGGAACCTGAGCTAGAATTAGGATCGAACGGATGTTTGCTGGTCTTGCCTTGAAGATCAGAATCCCAAGCTATCTGCGGTATGGCTCCTTATACCATAACCACATATTGCTGCAAGGGTATAAAAGACATTGTCATGGAAAGAGGAAGGTGCTCTTTGCACATATGGAAATTGAGTAACTGAGGTTCACATTAGTGGGGGATTAACCCTTCAGGGAACCGGAAGGGATCGATGATAAATACGTAAAAGATATGGATGCAAAAGGAAAACAGCCCTCTAAAAGAATTTGAGAGAGTGGAGCAGTGATGGCACACACCATTAATCCCAAGGCTTGGGAGGCGGAAGCAGATGGATCTCATTGGCCAGCCTGTTCTACATGGTGAGTTCCAGGCCAGCTGAGGCTACAGGGAGACGCTGTCTCAAAAAGAAAAGAATAAAATAAAATAAAATAATAAAACTGGGGCTAGAGAGATGGCTCAGGGATTAAGAGCAGTGGCTACTCTTGCAGAGGACCTGGGTTCAATTCCCAGCACTCACGTTTGTATCTTCTGACCTCCGGCATTGCATGACACGTGTGCACTTACATATATGCAAGCAATACACTCAAACACGAAATAAAAATAATAAGTTTATGGAAACTATCATGGAGAAGGCTGATCTGAGGCTATAGGGGCAAGAAACAAGTAAAACAGAAAGTAAAGTAAAAATACATAGTCTAGGTAGGGAGTTTCTTGTCACAAAGGGCAGTATTGGATTTTTTTTTTTTTCCCAGTGACCTGGAACTTGTTATGTAGACCAAGCTACCCTTGAACGCACAGAGATCCACTCTGCCCGGCATCAAATGGCAGTCTGATAACAGTAAATAAAGCCAAGTGTGGTGACTTTCTCCCTTAATCCCAGCACTGGCAAGGCTGAGGTAAAAGGATTGCTATTTACTTGAGGTCATCCTCAAGATACAAATAGTGAAGAGCTCGGTCCTTACAAATGAGTATTACCAACCTTATCATAGAAAATGTTAAAGGTCAAGTTGCTACTGGAGTCCTAAGAAGTAATGCAAGTGACAGGAACGAGACAGCCTCCCAGGTTAGAGAAGCGAAAAAGAGTAGTGAGGGAGGTTGTTTTTTATTCTTTTTTTTTTCTTCTTCTTCTTCTTTTTCGGTCTTTTGAAGACAGGGTCTCCCTGTAGCCCCAGCTGGCCTGGAACTCGCTATGTAGACTAGGCTGGCCTTAAACTCACAGAGATCCATCCACCTGCCTCTGCCTCCCCAGTGCTGGGATTAAAGGCATGCGCCACCAAGCCCAGCTCTACGCTTTGGTTTTTTTAATCTTTTGCTAAACCAAAGATGAAAAAGCTTGATCATTCAGGGGAGACAGGGCCCACTGACACTGGAGATTAAGAATGCTACTAGGGGGGCTGGAGAGATGACTCAGCGGTTAAAAGCAATGCTTGCTCTTGCAGAAGACCCAGGTTTGATTCCCAGCACCCGCATGGCCACTAACAACCATCTGTAACTACAGTTTCAGGGGACCTGACGCCCTCTTCTGACCTCTGTGAGCATTGCACTACACGGGTGCACTCACATACAGGCAGGCAATACATGCATACATATAAAATAAAAATAATACATTAAAAAAAAATGCCACTAGGAATCCTCTGGGATCTCCAAAAATAACCAGAACCTATAGCCTGACTTGATAATTCCTCCTGTTTGCCCACCCCTGACTTGATAATTCCTCCTGTTTGCCCACCCCTGTGTTCATCAGAGTGTGCAACTGCATGTGCCCACTGTAAATCAGGTAGATGCTCCCAGATTAGTCACTAGGGGGATGAGCATAGAATCATGAAGTAGTCACACTAAATGCAGCTGTGGTGTACTGTGTATACAGGAGAAATAGAAGTGTGTGCTGATTGGGAATGGCTTGCCATATCAAGCAGCTTTAGCTTAGAAGAATAGGCAGAACACTGTGGAAAGCTACTGTTTTTGCAGAAAAGGAAAAAGAATTGTATGTCTGGGCTGTAGAGATAGCGCAGCAGTTAGCATTTGCTGTTCTTCCAGACAACCGGAGTTCAGTTCCCAGCATCCATATCTAGTGACTCATAACTGCCTGTAACTCTGACTCCAAGAAAACTGATGCCCTCATCTGGCTTCCTCCAGTGCACACGAGCACACAAACACAAATATGCACATAGATAAAAATGAAAAATCTTGGGGGCTGGAGAGATGGCTCAGCGTTTAAGAATACTAGTTGTTCTCGCAGAAGACCTGGGTTCAAATCCCAGCACCCACATAGCAGCTAACAACTGTCCGTAAGTCCTGTCCCAGGGGATCCAACAGCCTCTTCTGTCCTCCGCCATGACACGGGTGCACTTATCTACATTCAGGCAATACATGCACACACCTAAAATTTAAAAAAAAAAATTTTAAGTTAAAAAAAATGAAAAATGTTTCAAAAATGTTTTCATGTCTGTGAATCAAAGATATGGAATATCAGTGGAATGACTTGGCATCTGACATTACTGGACCTTGGGGGAGGGGAAACAGGTGGTTTGGGATAGAAGATTGCACCATACCTGTCTGTCTGTGCCTTTTGAATGTTTTGGGTTCTTTTTTTTTTTTTTTTTTTTTTTTTTTTTTTTTTAAAAAAAAAAAAAAAAAAAAAAAAAAAAGAGGACGATAAATCTTTCACTGTGATATATCAAAATAACCTGCCTCTGCCTTCTGAGCACTGGGATTAAAGGCGTGCCCCACCATACCAGGTCTGAAGGTTTTATTAGTATGGGGGAAGGGAGAGCTGAGCCTACTAGCATCAGCCAATGAATGACAGAAGGGCAGGTGGAGGGTGTTGGCCTAGGAGGAAGGAAGCACTAGCCAAAGGAGATCCTTTGTTGCCCTGGAATCTAGGCTGTGCTCTCCTTGCCCCAGCTGCAGGGGGTTCCCTGGCAGCTCTCAGTTTAAAGGGACAGAGATCAGATTTGAGACTTGCTGAGCTGTGTTTTCAGTATAGTACACTGCTCTTCAGGCACTGAAATGACCCGTCTCAAAAACACAAATAAATAAATCAGAGAAGTTTTAATCAGAACAGATGAAGGGGTTCAGTGACCCCAGGTTCATCTTCGGGGTATTAATATGAGCTTTAGGAATAAACAGAGGATGAATTGAAACTGGGGACAAAGGGTACTTAAAAGATGTCTCAGCTGTTAAGAGCACTGGCTGCTTTTACAGAGGACCCAGGATGGATTCCCAACACCCACATGGTAGCTAACAACCATCCATAACTCCAGTTCCAGGGGATTTGATGCCCTTTTCTGACCTCCAAGGGCACTTCAGAACACAGGTGCACTTACATACATGCAGGCAATATACTCATATACATCAAAAAAAGTAATAAATACACTTTTTTAAATTTTTTTATTTTATTTTTGGTCTTTTTGCAACAGGGCCTCCCTGTAGCCCAAGCTACTGTCTGAAACTCCGGTCCCAGGGGATCCAACAGCCTGTTCTGACCTCCGAGGGTACTGCACGACACAGGTGCACTTACCTACATGTAGGCAATACATGCATACATATAAAATAGCTGGGCACACGCCTTTAATCTCAGCGCTTGGGAGGCAGAGGCAGGCGGATCTCTGTGAGTTCAAGGCCAGCCTGGTCTACATAGTGAGTTCTAGGACAGCTGAGGCTACAGGGAGACCCTGTCTCAAAAACACCAACAAATAAAATAAAATAAATAAAAACTGGGGACAAAGCTGGGCATGGTGGTGCATGGGACCCTGTCTCAAAAAGACAAAAAAAAAAAAAAAAAAAAACTGGGCACAAGAAGTATGCATAACAAAGTGATGCTAGTCAAGGTATAGGCCCATCATTATGTCAACTCTAGTCCTGCAATGCAATACCTTCTGTTAAAGAAGTTGTTAATTGCCCGGCATGGTAGCTAGCACCTTTAATCCCAGCCCTCTGGAGGCAGAGGCAGGTAGATCTCCGTGAGATTGAGGTTACCCTGGTTCACATTATGACTTCCAGGTGGGCTGTGACTAGAGAGACCCTGTTAAAAAAAAAAAAAAAAAAAAAAAAAAAAAAAAAAAAAAAAAAAAAAAAAAAAAAAAAAAAAAAAAAAAAGAAGAAGAAGAAGAAGAAGAAGAAGAAGAAGAAGAAGAAGAAGAAAGAAGTTGTTAATCAGGGCTAGGGAGATGACTGAGTGGTTGAAAGGGCAGGACATACTGCTCTTGCAGAGAATCTGAGTTTGGTTCCCAGCACCCATGTCAGGTGGTTCACAAGTGTAAAAAACATTAAATATTAGTCTTTTCTTTCAAACCCTGGAAAACATTTGGTCATGACCAGTTAAAAGTGTTTGCTGCTTTTCCAGAGGACTGGAGTTCAGTTCTCAGCATCTACATCTGGTGGCTCATAACTGCCTGTAATTATGGCTCCAAGAGATCTAATACCCTCATTTGGCCTCCTCCAGTGCACACAAGCAAACAAACACAAAGGTGCATATAAATAAAACTGAAAAATCTTTCATTACAGGGTATGAATATTGTGGAGGTAGAAAGCTTTTGCAATGTGATGGTAATTAAGAACTTTGTAACAGGAAAACTCTTAAGAGACAGGTATGGGGGAGGTGAGCAGGAGTCTCCTATCCTGCCCTCTGTGGTTGCCCAGGATGGAAGTCTTTGATTTCCAGTGTTTTCGTATTCCTGTAGCCTTTGTGGCCATGTGTTACCTTGCTTAATTATCACATGCACCTTTTACTTAATTGTCACCTATGTGCTGTTTTGCCTTTTGTTTGCATTTCCCCACACATGAGTATAAAAGTCCCCCCAAAACATGAACACAAGGTCTGACTCCTTTATTCGTGGTGTCAGGCCTGCTGGCATCAAATTAAACTTTGTCTCCTCACCTGACTTCGGCTGTTGGTCTCTGATTTTTCCATAACATGAAGACCAGAGAAGGGCAGGTGAAGGGTATTGGCCAAGGAAGAAGAAAGCACTAGCCAAAGGAGATCCTTTATTGACCTGGAATCTGGGCTGAGCCATCCCTGCCCCATCTATCCTGTTAGACTTTTGTTTATGAAAAGGCCCCAATTCATTCTACCAGAACCTGATGGCCTGGGGCGTAGGGGCCCTCCCCCACTCCCTCTTTGAGCAGCCCTCTTCTATCTTTTCTTAAACTAGTCAACTGGAAAAGACTGTGAAGTCAGACTCCAGCCAATGGAGAAAAGAAGCATACTCTTGCATTAGGGATAAAAACCTATCAAACTTCCAGTTGGGTGCATTTGCTAGATGTGAATGACCATACAGAACACCCTTTTGCAAAAGTAAAAGCTGCCTTGCCAAGTTACTTTCCCTTTGCCCTGGTGTTCTTTGTGCTGGTCCTTGTGTTTTTTGATGGGTTCTTGGACCTCAGATTTTATTTCTAACAACAATTACTTGTAACTCTAGTTCCGGGGGATCTGATGCCCTATTCTGCCCTCTGCTGGCACCTGTACTCACACCTATATGCCCACACAGACACACACATACACATAATTAAAAATTAAAAGAAAAAAATATTTTTTTGGTCTTTTTGAAACAGGGTCTCTCTGTAGCCCCAGCTGTCCTGGAATTCACTATGTAGAACAGGCTGGCCTTGAACTCACAGATATCTGCCTCCTCCTGAGTGCTGGGATCAAAGGCCTGTGCTACCAAGCCTGGCTTAATAAATCTTTTTTTTTTCAAGTTATTAATCACGGTCTCATCTGTTAATCAGTATCTTCACTTAAGAAAAACTGATCTGGGGCTGGAGAGATGGCTCAGTGGTTAAGAACACTGAATGTTCTTGCAGAAGACTCAGGTTCAGATCCGGCACCCACATGGCAGCTAACAACGGTCCTTAACTCCAGTCCTAGAGGATCCAATGCTCTCTTCTGACCTCCGTGGGCATTGCATGGCACGGATTCACTTCCATACATGCATACACATAAAATAATAAATAAAATATTTTAAAAAAACAGCCAGGCGAGGTGGCGCATGCCTTTAACCCAGCACTTGGGAGGCAGAAGCAGGCAGATCTTTGTGAATTCGAGGCCAGCCTAGTCTACATAGTGAGTTCCAGGTCAGTTGGGGCTACAAAGAGACCCTGTCTCAAAAAGACAAAAAAAAAAAAGAAAAAGAAAAAGAGAAAGAAAAGAAAAACTGGTCTGGGGGCTGGAGCAATGGCTCAGCAGTTAAGAGCACTGAGTGCTCTTGCAGAGGACTCAGGTTTGATTCCCAGCACCCACATGGAGGCTATGAACTGTCCTTAACTCCAGTTCCAGAGGAATCAGAAGACTCGGGTTCAGATCCAGCACCCACATGGCAGCTAACAACTGTCCTTAACTCCAGTTCTAGGGGATCCGACGCCCTCTTCTGACCTGCGCGGGCATTGCACAGCATGGGTGCACTTCCATACATGCATACCAGGGCATTGCACAACATGGGTGCACTCACATACATGCAGGCAGTACACTCATACAATATAAAATAAAAATAGCAATAGAAAATAAACAGGAGGATCTCTGTGAGTTCAAGGCCAGCCTGGTCTACATAGTGAGTAAGCTATCTCTCCAACCCCAAATAAATAAATAAATAAATAAATAAATAAATATATATATATATATATGTATATATGTATATTTAGCAACTTTGTGTGGTACAAAGTATAATCTATACTGGATTAATGATTACATTTTTCTCTCTTTTTGTTCTGCATTATGGGGCATTGTGCCGAGGTTTCACTGAGCTGCACCCCTAGTCTTGTTCTCCTGATTTTGTTTTCTTATTTGAGATAGGGTCTTCCTGTAGCCCCAGTTGGCCTAGAACTCACTATGTAGACCAGGTTGGCCTCAATCTCACAGAGATCTGCCTGCCTCTGTCTCCCTCACTGGAACTAAGGGCATGTGCCACACGCCCAGCTTATTTTTTCCAGATTTTAAAAATATTTTATTGCGAGGCATGGTGGCGCACGCCTTTAATCCCAGCACTCAGGAGGCAGAGGCAAGCGGATCTCTGTGAGTTCGAGGCCAGCCTGGTCTCCATAGTGAACCAGGACAGCTGGGGCTATAGGGAGACTCTGTCTCAAAAAAAAGATCCCCCCCCAAATTTATTATTATTATTTTATGATGAGTGTATTGCCTGTATGTATATAAGTGCACCCGTAACGCGCGCCCGTGGAGGTCAGAAGAGGGCGTTGGATTTCCCGGAACTGGAGTTACAGACGATTGTTAGCCTCCATATGGGTGCTGGGAATCGAACCCGGGTCTTCTGCGAGCGCAGTAAGTTCTCTTAATCACTGAGCCATCCAGTCTCATATTCTCCTGATTTTATCCGAGGTTTCAAGTCAGCCTTTATTTCCTGTGCCTTTGCAGCGAGCCAGCTTTGGCCAGCAAGGGGCGGGGCGGGCTGAAGCAGGCACCGCCCTCGGCCCCCAGCTCGCTGTTCACCAGGCCCCGCCAGCTTGCGCCATGGGCTACCTCTTGGGGTGCACAGCTATGCGAGCATTGCTGTGCCGGCCAGGCATCCCAGGCCTGCGCCTGCTGGTGCGCCCCAGTTCCGGTGAGTAGGGCGCCAGTGGGTAGAGGGTGGTTACGCGGCCTTTGTTTGCGCACGAGCGGCAGCAGAATCGGATGGGTGCATCGGACCAGGAAGGTTCGAATTTGGCCTTGAAGACCATGCGGGCGCATCTCCCAAGCTTTCTAGATCTTGGGAAACCAGGGCTTCAGAGTAGGGGAACGTCAGAGTTAAGGCGGGGAGACTAGCTGATCTGTGGCTCCTAACCGGGGGGGGGGGGGGGGGGG